GATGAAAACTCCGGTAATACATCATCTATGCCACTACTCCTATTTCTTGTCAAACTTGAAATAGTTTTCAGAATTTTATTTTCATCAAAAGGTTTATCAAGTTCATGTATATTAATACTTGAACCATTATCAGTGATATGCTCGGACTCACTTTCAGAATTACAAGATAGGTTTGAAAAATGACGCAAAAAATCATCTGCAGATAAGTTATTTTCTGGCGATTTATTTTTCTTGTATTTATTTATGAACTTCCAAAAATTTCTTGGGTTTTTCCTGCTCATTTCATTAATTCTAAATGTTTCGGAATTATTATATTTATATTTACTTATCCTTTTCACCTTACAAAAAGCATTTCTGCTTACTAAAAATATACGTCTGTTCACTTCATTCTTATCAGCCTCAAACATTCGTTTTTTGTTATAAAAATCAGCTTTTGCCTTCTTACATTCTTCATTAAACCAAGGAACTTTTCTTACAAAAGTTTTACTACATGGCTTTAAAATGAATGTTTTACCAAAATTATCAAAACAAATTTCTTGAATTACTTCAGTAAGAGCATTAATACTTGCATCAGTACTCTTTTCATCATTTACAAATTGATCTACAATATTTTCGAAAACATTATTTTTCATTCAAACAATTATTTAATTGTTCATGTTTGTTACTATTCCATACAATTTTGTTAATGTAATTTTTATCAGATGTTGTATTCTCATTTCTATCACATTTTAGCGCAAAATTAAAAGGACAATGGTCACTATGTTCATTTAAGTCAAGAACATTAAAATAGTCTAACAAATCAAAATTCTTAACATTAAATTTTGTAATTAAATAATCAACTAAACTTGCCCCTGTGGAAATACAGTTAACAGTAAAGCGTGTAAAATCTCCATTTGCCAATCTACCGTTATCAATATGTAGGTCATTTTCTTTACATAAGGTAAACAACTTTGTGCCAAATGTATTCACAATTTTATCGTTTGAACACCTAGCAGGTAAGATATCATTATTACTATAGTTCTCAGGCATATATACATATCGATTCAAATTCATATCATCAATAAAATCGTGTTTTTCTCCCACTCTGCTATTGGTGTCCCCTGTTTAAAAGGCAGTCCCTTTATCAGACTATTTCAATTTATTTTATGCTTTTCAGTGGATTACTGATTATCCGTGAAAATTATATTTGATAATTTCACAGTGAAAATTATCAAAATATAATTTCACACTTTTCAATGACGAAACTACTTTTTTAAGATTTTTCCCATGTGGTACCTCAATTTTATTTTTGGTGACTATTCGGACAATGTCAGGCTGTTTAAAGAAAAGCAAAGCTGAAATTGATAAATAACTTATATGTCAAAAGTAATAGAAAGAAGAAAACTTACAGTAAATTACTTCTATTCATTCAAATAACCAATCACCAAATATCGTCTCTATAATTTTTTGTTTCATTTTTACAGTCTGAAAAATACATTCCTTCCACATGCAAAACTGCTCTTGATGACATTTGGGAATATTTAAGTATCCTACGAGCAATAACTGCCGTATGCTTTATGCAAACTTGAAAAGCAATGGCAGCTTTCAGTCGAAGAGTATGTAAACAACCCAGCGTTCGTAAGGCTTCTAAGTTTTCCAATTTCCTATCCACTTTTGTGTATGTTTACACATCTGTCAACACTTATTTATTGTCTGTTACAATCTTCAAATAAGTTTTCTTTCTTTTCAAAAGGTGTATGACTAAGAAATCCAAATGATATCCCTCTGAATCAAACACAATTATTTTCATCCAGTGAAATACACAACTTTAAAAATGGCGGCCGCTTACTTTAACATAGCAAGGACTAATATAAATTCGTAACAAAAATATGGATGGATGGTTGGACTTTTTCTCCTATACTAGAATTGTTTGTTTTTATTATTTAAACAAGCGATCAGACATATTTTGTTAATAAGAGGACTAATATCACCACCATTTAACGTTGATTGTGGAACTTATTTTTCAGCCCATGACTTCTTGTATTTAATGAGAAATTCGACTTTTTTGAGGCTCTAAATGGGGAAAACAGATTTTAATATTAACGTAAATATTAAGGAAATTTCGTTTTAACTTGTTTTTAAGCATAAAATAAAAAGAAAATTTGTTTGTTTGTTGTGTAAGATGTAATTTATTTCATCTCGTGAGAATACTCGTGAGAATACTGTTTTTTAAAGCCCACTCGATGAAATAAAATTCATCTTACACACAAACAAACAAATATCCTCTATATATCATCATTTAATATTTCGAAGAAATAGATGGATAAAGAAATTCATGCAGATTAGAATGCACATTTTTATATACCATAGAGTTCTCGGGCGGTATGTAACATACACAAAAATAAATATCATTATTAAATTCTAATTCCTTTTTATCTAGTTTAAACCAAACAATGCCCCTATTTACACTTTAATCAATTCAATTTTACCAAATAACCAAGATTTAAAGTAGACTATAAAATCCTACCGCTATCCCGTTTAGATATACGATTATATTTCGGTCTATTACATACAAATTTATCGTAACCATCAATGTCAATACTACTACTTTGAGAACACCAGGTTACTGTAAATAATAACAAGTAATAATTCTGAATGAAATTCAGAAAGTCTTTATCTTGTACTTTTTTTACAATCCCACCATGAACGTTCCACTGCAAAAATTTGAGCAGCCGATTGCTACAGTCCTAATCTGTGTCGCGTGCACGTATCGAGTCCACCGTTATTGTCTCAACGTTAACATACAGTTTATCATAACGAGCTTATTAATATTGAACCATTTTTGTTAGTTTCTCAGTAGATTAACATAAATATAAATTTCCGGCAAATTTTACGCTCTACATGCAGGCGAGAAAATGCCAAACAGTTGGATATATGGAGAAAAATGATGTTTTGCCTTGAAATTGTTATCCATTTTACGATGTCTGCAAAGTTAATATATTGTATATATAAATCAGAGACATAGATGTTTCTGTATAAATGTAAATAAATGAATCTTTATTATCGTCCATTATTAATATAAACACAATTTTCCTTAGACATGTCTAAATGGTCAAAGTTATGACTAAACTTCCTGGTGAAGTGTAATTTATGTCAAAATAACGAGCATTTTACAGCTGATGATGGTAATGATGATTATGATGTAGCTGTTGTGTATACATGTATTCATACTGCATTTTAGATTGGTATTGACACATATATGCTATATATGTATGTCAATCAATGTCTTACATTAAAATGTTTGAGGCTACACTATGTACACAAGTCGATCTGTAACAATTATCATGTCCAATTTATAGTGTATGGAAACATTGATATTATAAAAAATGTCCTGTCGTCAAATAATGGGGAGATTAAGACAAATTAACTCATTTACGACAGAACTCCTTTACCGCAGCAACCCTTTAATGAAGAACAACAGCTTCCGATAATCTGGCTTATTTGTTAATGGTCAGCCGCTTTATATTTTATCGACAACATATTTAAACTACACCTTAAGGCATTTAACTTAAACCGCGGACACCTGTGGCGCTGAATGTCATACATATCGAACACTCGTAGACGCTGTCTTTATCTGATCGTGGTCATTCAGGCGTTTTAACTACCTTACTCTTGACAAACATAAATATCAGGCATCCGAAGGTGCTGTCTTAATCTGATCGGGGTCATAAGGCGTTTTGACCGCATAACCTCGATCACAACAAGAGTCTACAAGATAAAGAGTCAGGTTCAATAGTTCAAAGTTATCTCTTAAATTGCAAATTACAAATGACCAAAATTGCTGTAATGTAATAAGGACCTCGACGAATATCAAGAATATACAGAACGGATACGGTGTTTCGGTTTAAAATATGATAAGAAACTAAACATGTAAACAAATATTAACTAATTGCATGGAGTCGTTGAGATTTTCTTAAATATATTAGGTAAAATACCATCTAAAAGAAGTAAATTCATAGATAAAATAAAAAGACTACAGAAACTGAAATAGATGACTGGCCAAAAGGATACGGTTTCATAATAAAATCTATCAAAAAGCAAATTATATTTATAGAAAAACAAAGAAATCGTAGTTGTTACATCCAATTTGTCATTGAACTTAATACAAGTATCCGGCGATATTTCTAGGAATGACATTTGATAAAAAATGAACATGGAAAAATCATATCGATATTTTACTAACGCGATGCGAGAAAGATCAGAATATAATGCAATCAATGAAAGGGAAAGAATGGGGGCGGGTGGCTGACAATAATGCATATACATAATTTATGAAGCACTTTTACTTTCAAAAATTAATTACGGATGTATTATTTACAAAAAATACTCCAAAAATCTCAAAGTAATTACGGGCGCTTACCTGGCTACACACACTGAACAACTACATATAGAAATGAATATACTGAAATAAGATGTTAAGCGAGACAAATGCACACTTAAATATTGGACCGGGCAAAAAGCAAAGGCTATAACTTGCAAATAAATAGCAAAATGTGTGAAGATCCATTGTTTTATAAAGATAGCAAGAAAATCCCATACTTGCACACTGTCTCCAGATTAGTACAAAAAAAGAAAAACAATAATCGATACATCCACTTTATATCCCCTGTGCAAGATGCGTAATACATGCTATTTGATAAAGGTTATATTGACCAGTATGAATTTAAATTGTCTCTGAAATAATCCTTACTTAAAACACACATACGTTCTATTTTTTATATTTTTTTGATTTTGTTTTATTCTTTTAAAACCTCTTTAAATTATTTCTTTCTGATCATATTAGGAGTGTTGTCTTCTGTTTATAATATTATTCAAAATCATGTATTTATGTTTTACTGTACCTTTTTAAATGTTATTTGCAAAGGGTATTTAGCGTGAAAATATTAATGGAGACACTCTATTGTGCTTTTTTAATTTCCTTTTTAACAAACAATACTATCAGAAAATAATATGATATATACCTTAACTTTAAGCTTTTATTCCCATAGTATGTCAAGAAAGTTTAGTCTTGTCTCTCCTTTAAACTCATAAATATATAAAAACTTCTTTATCATTAGATGTGTATTATGCGATTAAGGATTACCAAGAAATAAACATCTTAATCATCAAATTTCACTAGATCCTTATGCTATTTGAAACAAACCTCTATTCATAGGATGATAAAGTGCTACCGGAAGTTTGTTTAATATCATATTGTATCTGTATATAGTACATTTCCATGTTGTTATGCCATGTACCTTGGGAGAAATGAAAGAGATCTGTTCTGTTCTATAGTAAAACATGTAGACATTCAGATAAACAAATACATTCTTAAATGAACAGATCCACTAAAAAAAAAGCTAAATGTACATATAGAAAAGATAGATCACAGAGTAGGGAATCAAACATACATTTAAGGAAATAAATATATTCTTTAATATCTTTCATTGGAAATCCGCGGAAGAGTACATGTATATATGGCGATATAAAAGTAAAACGCGCAGCAAAATTTCATTTATGTAGATTATTCGTGTTGTGATTTCATTGAATGACAGGGGACAACGTTGAATTTAAGGAAAACAATGTATTTTTTTAATATGTCAGTCTGGTTCAAGACGTATAATTGCTTTTTTTTAGGAGAAAATGGTCAGAACAGGCAAAAAAGAAGAATTTTACAACTTCACAACAACTTAAGAATTAATTAGTAAGTTGCTTTTATAAGATTTTCTTGGTTAAAATAGATCATAATATAAGGAATTATACCTACAAGATAGGCAATACACGAAACCATGGCTTAAGTTGGAAAACCGAGACGGGAACACACGCATACATTCCTGCTAGAAATATCGCGCAAGAACAATCACATATATATAAGGTTTAGAAGCCGGGCAGGGAACATACATACACACAAAAAAGAAAAACCTGGCGTTGCAAAATAAAGACGAGTTTCACCAATTTCACTGATTGCGCAAAAAATCATTTATCGAGATATTTTTTATGGCAACTTTACTAACAGATAGGCTATTTAACAGATTGCATTTAAGGAAAACAATTACACTTTATAATATGTATAAGTGGCAGTTTAGATATATGTATATAGTAAGCAGAAGTAAAATATCGTCTGCATATCCTGAGCAATGTCGTAGATCACGGTGTATTAAAACAAATATCTATTCTTACGAACCAAATTTTACAATAAAATATTATATAAGTATAGGTTAAAGTTTATTAGTACGTACTAACAAAAATAAATTGGTTAGGTGTGGCGCGGCGCAAATAAAACTAATAAATGAATGAATGAATGAATGAATGAATAGATTAATTAAATAATTAATTAATTAATTAATATATAAATAAATAAAGAAATAGATAAATATATAAATAAAATAAATAAATATACTATGTATTATAAATATTTGTTTTTTCATTTATTACTTTGCGTGCACGACTATATTTATCTGCGCGTATTCATAGACATAAATAATTTTAAAGCCATTATACTTGAACTTTTGCATAAGAATAAACAAAACATTGCATTGATTAAGTTAATTTCTTAACCTAATTACACTACATCAACACCACTAATAATTCTTAACTGATAGTCGTGGTCAAGATCTACTAATTGACCAGTCGCGAAAGGCAGCGCGTGATCACCTGATTTCATTGGACAACCTCTAAAACGGTCAAAATTATCTGATTGGTAGCATATCCATGGTCCAGCGATACCCGTCTTAAGGGGTGTCGCAAATGAGAGCAACGAGACAGTAAATTATTCTTAATTGGGACTTAAAGGATATTTTATATCCCTTTCCGGTTGCGAGGGTAAACAAGCCCAAACATACAAAATGAAGGATATTTGGGAAAATAAACTTGCTGTAACAAATGCAAATTACTTTTCCCCATAGGTTCTTAAGGTTAAGTTGGTCTGAAGCTTTCAAATTACTTTCCAGAAAATGATGGGAAATAGAAAGACTGATATTTTCTAATACTATATTGCCGGTCCCGTTGAAAACGCATATTTAAACAACCTCAAAAGAAATATTTCCACCATTTCTCTGGTCTTTGGTTTATAATGAATAATTCACACTGCAATTTTCATTGCAGTCATGAAACAGTTTAAATATTTTCTTTATTTTCTATATAATATACTATTCGTAAACGTCATTTACGCGATATTTAAGTCAATCTTATTATAGGGAAACATATATACATTACGGTAAATGAATGCATTCCTAGATATATCTGTCCGCTTTTCCATGATAGTGTATAGAAATACATTGTTAAAAAAATAATAAAATAATTTGTTGATAAATATAAATTGTTTTTTGCAGCCACATATGACATATTGGTAGAATATATATATTATAAAAGAAGCTTCGCAAACAAATTTTCATTAAAATGGAATAAAAACAGCACCAATAACAACAACAGCAACAACAAATTAACAACAACAACTTATTAACAATAATAATAGTAATAATAATAATAATAATAATAATAATAATTATAATAATGATAATAAATATAATAATAATAATGATGATAATAAAAATAATAATAATGATTATAATCATCATCATCTTCATCATCCATGTCACAATAGCCATACCACCTTCATCAATTATAATATAAATGATAATAATAATAATAATAATAATGATAATAAATAATAATAATAATTATACTACTAATAATAATAATGAATAAAAGTAATGATTATATAAAATATAATCGCAGCATGGAATTTTCTTCTTCTTCCTTATTATCATTATTATTATTATTATTATTATTATTATTATGATTATTATTATTATTATTATTATTATTATTATTATTATTATTATTATTATTATTATTATTATTATTATTATTATTATTATTATTATTATAACTTTATTCAGCTGTAACACGACAGTTGACACCTGCTGTTGTGAAGTATAAATTGCCGGGATCTCTGTATGTCTTATATACGATTCCGGTTCTTCTGAATGATATATGGCAGTTGACAATTTCCGGGATCCCTTTATAAATGTATGTTCTAAATCCTGGCGTTTCTGAATGTGATATGATAGTAATCATTTACTGGGATCTATCTATATATATATATATATATATATATATATATATATATATATATATATATATATATATATATATATATATATATATATATATATATATATAATGATATATATGTGTAACACGATCCCGGCTTTTCTGAATGTGATATGGCAAAGTTCAATTACCGGGAACTCTATACATGTAATACGATCCCGGGATCTCTGTATATCTAACACGATACGCATTTACCATTCATGTAATACGTGTCCAGCTTTTGTGAATGTGATATGGCAGTGGTCATTACCCAAACACTATACATGAATATCTAATACGATCTCGGCTTTTTTTTAAATTGATATGGAAGTGGTCAGTTCCCGGGTTCTATTACTGTCTCAGCTTTTTTCCAGATATGACATGGCGGTGGTCATTTTTAGGAATCTCTACACATGCCTATCTAAATCGATTCAAGCTTTTCTGAATGTGACATGGGAGTAGTCATTTCCCGGATACTAGTTATGGTTATCTAATATGATCCCGGCTTTTCTGAATGTGACATGGCAGGCTCCCTCTAGTGGCAGGCCATTTAATATATGACAATTGTAGCATAGACATTTTTTGTACAATATGCATACCTATTGTCTATATGATCATGAATTAATAAAAAAATGTTTACTTAAAAGTGAGTTGAATTGACTTTAGCCTTATTACCTCAAATACTCAAAATAATGATAAAGTCTTTATGCATGTAAATATATAGTTCTCAGTCAAAAGGTACATTAAAACATACATGTACACGCTTGTATATCAGTCATTTACGCGTGTCATGCATATAATTAGTTATGATATTGTCCGTACTCTCTATATCTTAAAAATCAGCTCAGTAAACCCTTTGCAAAGCCCTAAAGTACGATTCCGTACATCTTGTGTATATGTAGAAAATACGGTTACGTATATCTTCTGTATCTGTAAAAAAGTCATGTATATCTAAAAACTACGGGTCAGTATATCCATCACTGTAAATCTATAGAATACTACAGAATTTGGCCTTGATAAAGTCCGTATACGTGATTTTTATCTCCGTATACAACAAAAATACGAACAAATATACGAATATGAAAATGGAACAAATACGGAATCTCGTACATGACATATAAGGACTCTCCATATACCCAGTGTTTCCTACCTGTAACCTTTTTTTCCTTTGAAACGTAAGTTTCAACAAATATCCTAGGCATAAATAAGTATCTATTTACAAATACAATTTGGTAGTTCAAACACATTCGGAATTTCTTAAACCTTCTAAATTACCGGTATTAAATATATTTCAGTTAATGTCCTTATACGATCGTAATTCACGTTGAAAAACGAAAGGTGATAAACGTTTTATTTTCTTCATTTACACGGAAACAGTGTTTTCAAAATTTAAATGGGGCTTAAGAAAACTGAACCTTGTGAACTGAATGATCGCTACTATCTCCTTGTGTTATTATTTAAATAGGGAATACGATTATAAATGTATTGATAAATGGTTATTGGGTTTTCATTTTATAGCGGTAACCTTGTATAATGATTTGTATTTATAATCTGTGATGTAAAACATTTATATTTATCTTGATACTGCTAGAAATGATTGATGTATTTGTTCTGATGTATTCTATACTGGTTTAAAATGTACTAGTACTTTCATCTGGAATAATCTTTGATGGTATATATTGTTAGTATTTTGTCAATGTTCATTGATTCATTCTAAAAGCTGAAAGCATTGTGAAAAGTATTATAAAAGGTATTCAAAAAAGTGTGTTAAAAGTTTATAATTGTAAAGTTTAAAGTTGTTAAAGGTAATATAAAATTAAAATAAAAGTAAAACAAGACAACTAAATTGTTGTGCTTAGTTAAAAACATTATTAAAAGACAATAGGAAAAGGATTATATTTCAGTGTGATAATTCAAAACAAGGATTTACAAAATACATAATTAACTCCCACAGCTGAAACTAAAAATGCCTTTAAAATCATCACAAACCTTGGTCTGTTTAAGTCCAATATATTTTTTCAAAACAAATTGATGTTTTTAAACTTGCCGGACGAACATGGAATTTTAAATGTGTTTTTTTAACAGTGTTTCGGTTCAAAGAGTATCTTTAAAACATATAAAACAAAGCGTCAATTGATATTTTCTTTAGCAAGAATGTTACGGATATATTAAACATGAACAGTTCTCTGGAGAATTGAATTTTTGTCTTAGAATGAAAATGATGTTGCCAAATGGAAGTAAAATACTGCTGTTGTTTCTGTCTTTGTTTATTCTTATATATATTTACGTTAGAGAAAATTCAGAAAGCAGCGTTCTTATATCCAAACCTAACAGAAACCCTACACCAACTGATATATACAATAAGAAATTTGTATATATAAATGACAGTGCCATGTATGGTAACAAACGATGTTTTCATCTTAATTGGAAATATACAAGCAATGGACTGACACTGTTTGACCTGAGAACATCTCAATGTAAACGTTTTATAACAATTGATAGATATGTAGGAAGAACGGGCAACTGCTTATTTCAAATTGCTACAATTTTGGGATTGGCATATAGATATGATTTAATTCCAGTAATTCCTGCATACCATCACTTAAACGTGTATTTTGACTTACCTAATATTGTTCAATCGAAGAAAATAAATTTATCAAATAATACAATCATTCATATAAAGAAAGTAGCAATATATGAAGACTTCAGCAAAAGACTTAAGCAAGAATCTCACAACTTTACTATGGCAGGTTGTTTTCAATCTTGGAGATATTTTGATACCGAAAGAGACATTATTAAAAACGCTTTACGTTTGAAAACCGTACATTTTCAAAGAGCTAAAGACTATATGAACTTTGCGAACCCTAAAGGCTATAAACAAGTTACAATTCATATCCGTCGTGGAGATTTCAGCACCCCTGGTAATTTAAAAAAAGGATTTGCTGTAGTAGATGCAACATTTGTGGAGAAAGCAAAGAATATATTAAAACTCATTTCTTCTGAAGTAGTATTTTTCGTTGTTACAAACGATAAGAGGTGGTGTAAAGAGAACTTGAAAAATGTCAATTTAAGTCCATTCGACAATCTAGGAGATGATTTGGCAATTATGGCTTTGAGTGATCACGTGATAGTGTCAGCAGGAACATTTGGGTGGTGGGGAGCTTGGCTAGCAGGGGGTAAAGCTGTTTATGACACGGAGTTTCCTCGATCAAAAAGTTTTCTAGCAACCTATTTTAATAAATACGATTACTACCCACCTGATTGGATAGGTATAAATTGAAGAAATAACTTTCATGTTGTATGTTTGTTGTAAATATTTCAAAACTTTTTCAAGCAGAAATATTCATTTATTATCCTGCAAACGTATGTATTTGATCTGACGATTCATGAAAGCATTTTATTTAATTTATGTATCGTTTTGTAAATGATATGGCAACATTATACAAATGCAAATATTTAGTTATCTTTCCGATAGAAATGCAGATATATTTTTGTTAAATTCGCATTGAGTGGACGTGCCTTTAAAGTTAAAGGGAAACTGAATTTACCTAACGTTAGAGGTAAGATTAAACAAATAGCATTGCTAAGTAAATAAAATTCTTATTACAATAGTTCATTTGCTGCCTTTTTTCTCAAAACCTTATTTTTTCCTACATATATTTGCCTGGTATTGACAGTGCTAAAAGCCATTGCAAAACTGTTTGTTTATTTGATTGTTTAACTACATTTCGAAAACGTTTTATCTACATATAATGTAGCACTCAACATATGTGATATGTATTAACTATTTGATTTCATTTATAAATGATATAGTATGTTATCTGAGTTTTAGTAGTCTTATTATTATGATTAGCTCGTTTTTACATGAACAGAAATGCCTTTAACTTCTAGCATAATAATAATTTTGGGAAATACATTCATGTAAAATTACGTCATTCATTTTTACGTCATATCACCAAAACACGACTATGTACGGTTAATTTTAAAACAATCTGTAGCATAATACGTAACAGCAGTGCTATTTTGAAAATGCCCCAAAATGGCGACGTGAGATGAAAATGCGACGCAACGCAATGTCATTAAATACTGTCTAAGTTGAAAAAGCGTCCAGCGTTAATTGACAACATGGAAAACTGCATGTTTTATCCAGATAATGCACCTTGCCATAGATCTCAGGAGACTTGAACTTGATGTGATAGGTTTTCAGAGACTTCTTTACGCCCTAAGAATTTGCAGTGTTTCCTTATTTCCTTATTTGAAATCACACTTACGAGGTCACAGGGTCGAAAACTTCAGCTAACTCCGCCAAGAAATTCAACTTTGCGAGTTTGAATACATTGAGGTAGGACTGTTTTGAAAACGTTTATGATAAATGGGTCGCCCCACACTGACAGTGCATCGCGAAACACGGTGAATACTTTGAAAAACATTTTAAAATATCTTATAACGTCATGACGTTTATGACGGCGTGCGTCGGGTATGTATAGGTAGCATTCTTTATATTTTGATAACTTGGTCAATTTTGGAGGTATTTGATTTTATTTCGCATAGCCACACATAAAAGGTATTGACTTTTGCCTAGCTTGACGACTCTATTGTATTATAATTTATTGAGAAACATACTTTGTCTACGATATTTTGGGACAACCCTCGTATATATAAATACTGTCCTTATATAGTTTTACACTTGCAAAAGTACCGGGACGTTTGTAAATCTTACACCCGAATTCTTTGGGCTTATTCCAGATTATACTGGGGCTTGTATATGTATTGGGGCAAGACCAATTGTTTGTCTTATATATATCTGTCGGGCAAAACAAGAGTGTTCAACCTTTAAACCTAGGTATTGGGTCTATGATTTTACAATTGGGGCGTCATATATAAAGTGACCGTGTTTCGTATATACTTTATATATATTTTCATCTGTTTGTGCATGTTTTTGACCTGGAAGAAGTTAACAGGTGCGCGCCATCCTGAGCGCAACTTTTCGGTCCTTTCTGTCAGTCAATGGATAATAGCCGAAGACATTCCGATCGTAAGTGCCATTATATGTCAGCCATGTTGTTTAACTTTTTACTTTTTAAGTTTAACACCGAAGTAAGTCAATTTGCTTTACGACTGATACCTTTTAAGCGTAAAAACCCAAACATTATAACAACGGCGGATGGTGCATCATGTGCTCCTGCGGGATATATTCTTGTGAACAATTACATCACGAAAACTGGTGACGCGAGGGTATCTTAAGCTTTCATGTGATTTCAAAAAAGATTAATTATCATTCAACTCACGATGTTTGTGAACAAAGGGTTCAAAACTTCTGTATTAGTTTATTTTTATTCAAAAAGGAAGGCAATAGATGCGATTAATTACATGAAGACATTAGATTTTAAATATTTATACGTGAATGTCGTTGCAATACACAATAGTGTACAAATTCCATCTATCATAGATGATCTACAAAGTACATACAACGATCCAATCTCATACACGTAAAGTAAAAAAAAAAAACCTGGGCTATATATAGAACAAATAAAAAACTAATGAAAAATATAGATTTGTATAAGTAGATCTACAGCTATTTTTTTCCAAAGTCCCCCGATCCCTGCATTTATTTTGGATTGTCACCACAACGTGCCTGGGGCAGTTGTGACTTATTTTCATCACCTTATGGTGAAATTAACACAGCAGGATATAGTTAGGGGTGTATTCGATTCAATCGATATCAGTGTATCAACTATCTTTGTAATTCGATTTGATATCCATTTTGGTTATATTGGGTATCAAATGCCAACAAAAAATGAAGACCCTGGGCTGCGTCCTATGACTGTTGCGGTTTCCTTGTTGATCTTTATTCTTGATTTTTTTCTTTTAAGTATTTAATCCCTTAGCAGTTGAACGTTTCAAAGGGAAAAAAACATTTTTTGGGACAAAATCTTGGTTATTTACCAAGGGGAAGACTCCGACAATTGGTGTCAATTATTTGTTAGTAAAAAAAACCTGATTCAGGTGTGCGATTTCAGGGCCATCATGGCCCTCTTGTTAAAAATTGCAACTGTTTTATTTTATAAAAATCTCGACACAAAGTGATTCCTCGGAGGCATTAATCACAACAAAATTACAAGAGAATTACAGACTTGATTTGATTGAGCATGTACATGAGGTATAATGAATAAGTGAAACATGACGAACGACCCCTAGCGCCGACTTTAGCGGTACACAATTTTCAACACTTAATAGTGCTGGCATCAATGAACAATATAATAACACTGAAGTGAAGTACGGGGTAACTTCTTACAGCTGCCACACGGCACTTGACACCTGCTGTTGCAACGTATAAAAGTGATCCCTCGGAAGCATAAGGCTATTGAAATTGAGCTTGGCAAAAAAACCTGCCCATGGTTAACCTCTCGTGTTAATTAATTTGAGACACTTCACCCTCCATTTTTATTGTGTGTCGAAAATGTTAAAATTTGTATTCAATAGTGTAATTGAGTATGTTTATTGTTTTAAGGTATTTCATTATTATTTTATTGTGTAATTGCCCAAAGACAATGGATATATTGTTGTTTTTGCCCTACAAAAAGCTCATATCACAAAGAAATTAGTATGTAATTATTTCATTTTTTAGTTTTTTTTATGTAGTTTATACTAATTTCAATTAAAGGGAAGGTGATATAACCAATTGAATATTCTTTCTTTTGAAGTGTGTGAACCTTGTGTCAATTTTTCTTTGATATATATTAAGTATATAATATCTTTCACACTTCCGTTCTGTCTTAAATTGACATAATCGTGTTTAATGAATTGTAAGCAAAACATGAATACCATGGAACTGGCAACACATATCATTTGATACCAGTACGTTTACTTAATTTGTTAGCAACATTTTGTACATATTTATTTATATTTATTTTGTAAGTAAGGTAATTGTTCTTTTCTTATTTATTACAGTAAGCGGATGAATATTTAATGTATATCTTATTTCATTCATTCCTTCCTTTGTTCGTTTGTTCATTCATATTATTTTATATTCAATTTTTATTCATTTTATTACTTTTTCCATACAATATCATTTACTAAATTATTATTATACAATATTATTTATTTATTTATTTATATTTTATACAATTATTTTTAATCCAATTATCTAATCAATAATTTAGTGATGTTTATAAAAATTTGTTGTTTTTTTTTAAACCAACAAAATGCTATGTTTTATTGCATGTTATATGGATATGAGTTAAATAAATTATTTTATTTTATTTAATTCTGAACTATTTACTTAACAAATATTTACTCTTAGAAAAGTCTGTAAATTGTCCTATAATTAAAAACGTATTATTTAAATAATACTAAAAATGATTAAAAAAGCAACTAAAAGCACTATTTTGTTAGCTTATTTACTTTATAGAAAAGAAATGGATTAGGGGTGAAGTGTCTTATTGTTTTTTTTTGTTGTTTTTTATGTTTTTTTTTAAATTTGGGGGGGGGGGGGGTGTTCTTGCTGAAGAGGACATAAAAAGGGACATTTTGTTTGTTTCAATGAGGGTTTTGGTCCTTTCCGGTGAAGCGAGATTGGAGAGGTTCAGGAGTGAGTATGACATTGTTAATTGGGAGTTTCCTGTTTTTCTCACGACAAAAGGGACAAGAATGTTGGTTAGTTTCTGCCATTTACGTACCCGGAGATCCCGTGTCCTATGACAAAGCATTTTTCCTTCTATAACAAGGGCCAATATTTGGCCCTTTCACAATTCAAAATTGCACTTTTTCACAAAGCGGCAAAAAATCACAATTTTAAAAGAGATTTCACAAAATATCTGGAGTTTGTCTTCTAAAGTTAAAATTGTTTACCTTCATGTAAATCTTGATTTTCGCCATTTGCAAACAGGTAAATAAGTTTAATTGAATTAAATGGTATTTGCGTTGAATTACCGCCTAAATGTTAAAGTTTTGACTCCAAGCAGATTTTACACAGGCCAGAAATTATAATCAAACGTTCTTTTCACTCTGTCTCTCGTTTCAAAATGTCATGAAATGGCAAATATTATCACAATTATTCACAATTTTATGACATATTGCGCTTTTTTAACATAATGAACAGGTCGCATTATAAGTTTGACAAAAATACCCTCTATTGTCACATATCTAGTTTTAAAACACAAACCCTTCCAAATTATAATTGTCCTGGGACAAAATACCTAATACCAATATGCTTAAAAATCACAAAATGTCAGCCATGTAAAGGTTGACATAATTTGTAGACATCAGTCTATATAAATGATAATAGTATAAATTCAATACAGGAATTACAAGGTCATAAAAATAAGAAATCCCACCCTAAGAAATACCATGCCAACTTTGTCACCAACTGGTTTTCTTTTTTTCTTTCAGTATTGATGCAAGTCACAGCAAGTACCGATTCTCCCAGAATAGATGCCGGTTTCTTTTTGCCGCGTCGGTTTTTGGCAAATTCAACCCCTATTTTTACGTGCTTTAAAAAAATGAAAACTATCTTAAATAGTCATATTTACTAAAAGGTTTAAAAGTTAATATGTTTTGTATTTCTATCAGTAATACTTTTTGTAAAAATGCATTTAAAGTTTGCATTTGCCATGGCATTTCGGCATTTTGCCATGGCAAATACTTTGCAATGGCAAATTAGAATTGCCATGGCAAGATTTTCCAACATTTGCCATGGCAAATTTGCCATGGCAATTAATTTTAAAACATAACAAAACATTTCAAAACTTATCCTATGACATGTTCTTGGTGCTATTGTTATGTTTTGATTGCAATCTCTATTTTTTTTTCATTTTGCCATGGCTAATTTTTGCAATGGGAATGTCATTGCAAATTTCTGCCATTGCAAAATGAAAACTAGTTTGGCAATTCCATGGCTAAAATTTCCCATGGTAATTCCATTGAAAAATTTGCCATGGCAATTACATAAAAGTTTGCCATGGTCAATAAAAATGCATGGAAAAGTGGTAATTTTCTGTCTTTGAAAAAAGTTTCATTAATTTATTCATGGCAGAAGACATAATAAAAGGGCCCTTATGGGTGAAATTTTCAAAAATGAGATTTTGTCTTAGACGTGTAAGCATAACAATTATGTTTCTGAAAAAGACCAAGAAAATAAAATAAAACAGCTTAATTTGCATAAAATTCAATTTTTAGCTCGACTATTCGAAGAATATGAGAGCTATTGTACTCGCCCCGGCGTCGGTGTCGGCGTCAGCGTCCGTGTCGGCGTTGGTTAAAGGTCCCATTGATTGACGTTTTTACATTTTGAATATAGCAAGATATAAGTACAATAAATCGTTATCGACGAAAAATACCGAATGGTTACCTGTTTATAAACCCATAAAATTCCCCCTTTAAACACACCTGTACGGAAAGGGACGGAAATATTTCCGGAAAGTGCCGATCGGCATTTTTCCCCAGTTGCTCGGGTGTGACGTCATTCCAAGTACATACAATGGCCGACTACAGAGAAATATATGACAGTGAGAGCGAATATTCGTCAGATAATGTTTTTTTCTGAGAGTGAAGATGAAGAGATACAGACTTTACCTTACCAGTTTGAGCCAATTATGCGGCTTGATGAAGGAAATTCCAATAATCAAGCCGATGTGAGTCGGAAAGATCGGGCAACACAAACTGGTATGAAATTGTAAAGCATTTCTTTTTCATTGTTTTGTTCATTGGTGCAAATTCGAGTTTCTATACACCCAATGGAAAGAATATTGTAAAGTAATTTAAGTAATAAATTCAATTGTTAATATATTTAATATAGGAGAATTACTAGATTTTAACAAGTAACATACCCCACCCACTAAAATCAATTTCGGCAATGAATCGGCACTAAATAAAATTAAACAACATAAGACCATACCTATCGTAAATAACATTCATAAGAAGTAAATTTAAAACTAACAAAATCGAAATAAAATATGTGTTGACTGTTCTTACGGAAATAAAAACACGTCAATACATTTTTAAAAAAGCATCAAGGAGACCCCTCTGTATATATTTGCTGAGTGAAAACTTTATATGTATTAAACCAAGAAAATGAGATTAACCTTATATACTGTTGCTATAGACCCCGAGACTATTCCAGAATAGAGTCTAGTTTACTAAGCTGATTATTTCTTTTCTTGTACTATCATTTCAGGTTTGAATGTGAGAACTGTAGAGCAATGTATACAGACAGAGAATCTATCTGTTGTAATGAGATTGACAGTGTGAAACTAAAGATAGAGCAGTTTAAGGAAGAAACGGCAACAGAACTTTCCTGTATAACCCGGCATCCTGGTTTCCAGTCTGTTTGTCTCGACAGGTATGTCTTGGAGACTGCCTACTACCAGTACAGACAACAATATGGCGAGGTTGAGCATACAAACAATGAGTAAGTGTAATGAATTGATAAATATAAAATTATTTTTTTTGTCAATAGTTTAAACTATTCAACTGATATGTTCTCTGTTTGTGCACTACACAAGTCTTGGTGACATTTTCTTAGAGGTGACATGGCTGAATATGGTATTGTAAAATTATTTTATACTTCACATAACTAATACAGGGGAAATGAAGTTCTTGAGATTTTTATCCAGTTAAACTTAAAGGGCATGATAAAACAACAATTTTTAGCTTCATATTTAAAAAAGGCAAACACACAAAATTTAAAAATTAAATTTGAAATAATATTAAATTTTAAAGTTTATATTTTTTTAAAAAAAATATTTTTTAATTTGATTTCCCAGATTTTGCTCTGACAACTAATTTAATTTTTTGCTTTTTTTTCAAACGACAGGATAGGGTTTCCTCCCAGGCATTATCCAGGGGGTTTTGGGGAAACCCCCTTTGGAAAAGATGTTCGATTTTGGGGCTTCCCTCTTTGGCGCTGAAAAACTGATAAGAATTATTTTCCCGTCAGACTTTTACAAAGGTTTTTTCCTGAGCATAAATAAATTATTTTTATAAAAAAATTTATTAAAAGTTGTAATGTAAATAAAATTTTTTCTTTTTTTTGTCTACAGTTTTTTCCTTTTTCAAATTTTCGAGTTGAAGCACCTGACTAACTAGTAGAGTATTTGAATCCAATGTCCATAGTGGGACTGTCAAAGACAGAAAAGGCTGGGATGCATTTGTATACCAAATATCATGATGCTGTGATGTTACGAAAAAATTTTACCACTGGCCATTAATGTCGAAAATTTAACTAAGTTGGTAAACAGTAAGTGGTTGAGCTGCATACCTAAAATCAAAATCCACGGTATGGGACCACATGTTAATGATGTATGCCAAATATCAAGAGGCTGTGATAAGTAGTTGCTGAGAAAACTGTTACAAAAAGTTTTCCCCCGTCTGTCCGCCCTACATTCACCATACTATAACCGGGGTTTGCACCTGTGCAACCCGACCAAACATCTATTAATAGCTGTGGTATCTTTGTTAATGTTGTCGCTATGAAAAAAATTTTGTAAAAAATCAAAAAGTATCCCCCTTTTTACAGCTATTTACCCTGTTTTTAAAAATGGGCAAAACAAAAATTTAAAATTTAAAACAAAGTTAAAATTTTTAAATCATGAAAACTAATGTTTTTAAAATAACTTTTAAACAAATTCATTTTCTCAACAGTTCTATTTTTCAAATGAACATTAGAAAACAAAAAAATCTTTATAACAAATCAAGAAAATAAATCCAGTAAAGTCCAAACCCAAAACCCAAAAAAAAAATAAAATTCTGCACAAAACTGAAAAAAATAGGGCAAATGATCTTTCAAAGAATTAAATTTTATGCTGTGAAATAGTAAAAATCTATGTCTGTCTTTGTTTGGCCTTTTTGCTTAAAAAAAAAATATTTTCATTTAGCAGAGAAAATAAAATATAATACTGACAGAAAATGAATATGAAAAAAGTATCCAAGAGCCCCTATTGCTTTTAATCTGGGCTATATTAAAGAAAGGGAAGATAATTCTGTATGACTGATGGAGTTCATTGCCTAAGAAATGGGCTTTGGCAAACAATTTAAATGGGAAAAGATGAAATTGTGCGACCATTAAGTAGTCTTTAGTATTATTGAATTAAAAGAAAATTATTCATACAAAATGGTTCAATGTTATTTTCAAGTTTCAATTAATTCCTTTCAGTTGGTTTTATTATACAAACTTGCATGTACAAAAACTTAAGTGTTATGCCCACATCAACTGCATACATTGACGAGTACAATAAATGTCATTTTTCTTCTAATCCTTGAGCTAAAATGCATACACATGGAAGTGAACAAGAAATCAAAGTTTGAAACGGATAACAGCTGTGGTTGTAAATTCTTCAAAATTAAAATACAATTAATACATGTATATGGATGCTTGAAGCCCAACCTTCATAAAAACGACTTGTTAACTTTGTTTGTGTGTGTAAAATAAAGAATGCATCCTGAAATTTGACTCAATATTTTACATTTGAACACAGACATACAAATAATTAAGTTATCGGCAGTTTAAAGTAGAAAACAGTTTCTTATATACACTGTAAAAAAATGTCTTAAGACTGTGCAAACTTTGTTTGCTCATAATGTTCACAAGTTTTTTCGAAAATTTTAGTTTTTTATAACGCGATGACAACTTTGATACTGCTTCTGCTTTGCTGGGTTTCCTCTTGCCTGATGTCAGACGTGGCGGTATTGGTGTTTCCATATATTTTTTTTTCCATACATCTCTAATGTTGTGTCTAAAAGTGTTTGCACATATAAAAACGTATTCTCTGTCAACACAATTTTCACAGAATAGTAATCCCCAGTTTTAAATTTTGTGACAAGCCGTTTGATACCAATTCTTAGCATTTGACCTTTAAACATGACCTTTACCTTTGACCTTGCCACTTAGTTCTGTCATGACATGCCATCTCATTATTGTAAACATTTGAAATTCTGCCTTCCAATGAGAAGAATTACGTCCCGGACAAGCATAACCTGAAGGACTCATGGATGGACAGACAGATGCATGCACATACAAAAACCGCCATTGTGACAATTTTGTCGCGCTCTCTACAAGTGGGCTTGAAAAAACTGCTGTACAGCTCAGCAATATAAGAGAAAACCAGTAAAAATGTTGGAATGAATTCAAAGGGTTAATTGCAAGTAATAGTAGTTATAGAGGAAAGCAAGTTTACCTGGCTTCAACCATACTCTGTCTTGAAGAAGATCATGCTGACATTCTTTATAAGGTCCTTGATGACCATGATGGATATTCTGAACATGACTGGAAACTGATTTCCATTTAGACTCCATAAGATCACTATCCCCTTTATTACAGGAAGCAGCTGTCCAATACAAATGGTTGGTTATACTCTTTATCCATCTGCTTACATCCTGACAATCCTTCTCTTTAGCTAATGATAATAACTTTTTCTTCACACCTGAAGTCAAACAAAACAAATGTACATATACTGATGTACTGTAAAATGACCAAATGTTTAATGATACTTTGATTATGATATCAATACAACTCAGCTTTTTTACCATACTTAAATGGCAAATACTTTCAGAAGAATCGAAGTATCACGGCAAGACCAAGTAGTAAATGTGTCAGACTATATCAATCTATGGGTCAAATCCCTGTTTTATGCAATCTTTTATTTCCTTGAGCAAGAAACTTCCAATACCATTTTATTAAAATAAATTTCGTAATAACTAAGAACCCGAAGTGAAAGTGTAAAGTGCATGTCATATTGTTCCAATAAGAAAAAGTGTTTATTGAAACAATTGATAGAATAGTGGGAAGAAAATGACCCCAAAAGGCTTGTTGAAGTTGAAGTATCAATTTTACAAAAAAATAAATATGAGCAGCCTATTTTCTTTTCAGTATTTATTACCTTTAGCAATATGCCATACATCAAAACTATGGACTGTAAATGGCATGTTCTCTCTGATCCATTTCTGTATCTGCATGTGGCGATCTGTTATAATTTCAAGAATATTTATTCCAGCCCCATTTAATGCAGAAACAGCTCTCTTTAATCCTTCAAGATCTATATTGTAGCTTAATTTTACTTCATTACTCTGAAAATGCAAAATACAGGATCACTTACACGACTGCAAAAATAACAAGTTACTAAGTGACATAAGTTACTAAGTGACATAACATTCAAAACTGTAATGTACAGAAAAATCTCCTAAACTAAAAGCATTATAAAAATGGAGGACGTGCTTTGCCATAAGTTTTTGTTTTCTTTCCATAACCACTACCCTAAAACGGTACTGTTCCAAATAGTAAATAGACATTAAAATTCCCAATTTCTAATGTTTGAATTCCCAAAATGGCTGTTAAAAATTTCCACAAGGCCAAGTTATTTCTCTGAAATCATTAAAATCCAGCATATTCATATAAATCATCACTCAATAGTTATATCTGGACAGTGGCAGTGGCAGTTGTTACCTATCTTTATTCATGATGACTTATCTTATTTGTAGCTGAAAAAATGCATCAAAAAATTCCCAATTTAAGTAAAAATAACACATTTTTCCCAATCAGTCTGGTATTCCCATTCCCAAAGAAGAGAAAAAAAAACGCTGTCCATGTATGCAAATTATATGGCAGAGTTCTGATTTTAAAGCAATAATCAATACTAGTTTTTCAATAAACAGTCGTCATCAAGACTCATTCATAAAACAATGTGAATCAGACATAAAAAAGTCATACATTTTATAATTTTGATTTTGTTCCCAGGATATCTTGAATATTCTATAATTGAATCTTTATTAATTTACCTGTACAATATGGAGACCAATGACTTGACCAGAGTTCATGTCAATTAGTGAGTAGACACCATACTTGGCGCAATGACCAGGACTGTCTGCTCTTCCATCACCGGCCACAACAACTTCTCCTCCTCTTTCTCTGAATGTTCTCATCATTCTCACACCATGTTGTTTCTATGGCAGGCCAAAGAATTCCTTTGATGGTCAAAAAAAGTATTTACTGTCACACACATAACATTGATAAAGTTAAACACACGTAGGAACTTTGTTGGGGAACATCCTGAAAACAATATCCCAGCACTCAATAGAATATTACCAGCAGGCACACCATTAACTTTTGGCTGAGAATCCCAGCGCCTTGTATGACCACAGTCACATATCTGACGCACCGCAGCATAGGAACCCTGGACCTGGCTTACTTGTGCTTCGGTTTTATGCCAACAAACTTGACAAGAATTAAAAAGTTCCATAAGATTGTCTTCAAACACAAGAAACTTTCGTTGCTTTACTGAGTCATCTCTACAAAAGAAAATAATTGAAATAGAAAACAAAAATACATTACCATTATTTATTTGTATACCAAAAATATTATTTCAAATATACAGAGAATATTCAAGATTCTTCTATAAATACAGGATTTATTTTCATCAGGTGGTATGGAAATAAATTTTTCAATAGCAACGAGTGAAATATGATAATTTTCATATCACAAGATGAAATTAAATCCTGTATAAATGAAAAACTTGAAATTGTCTGTTTATTATATATTTTTTTTCTCTTTTTAACCTTATGAATAGGAAGAATTCCATTTATTTTGTGTATTGGCTGATTTAACAAGAAAGTAGCCTGGCAAGTTACCAGTGAAAATACAGAAAATAGGTTTCACTGCAGTGAAAAATAAATTTTGAAGTGAAAATACTTAAAATAAAAATAAGCATTTTATTTCATCACTATTTCATTTATAAGTAAATAATAAACAAATGTATTTCTCAATTTCAGAAATTAAACCAGTTGACGGACACTTTTAAAACTATTTTAGAGTGTGTGAGTCAGAAAAAAGTTTACAAGGACTTTTAATGTTTTTTTGTGATTTTTTTTAATCATGCAGTCCTCTGACAATTGATGAAGGAATAATTATGACATGATGATATCATCATCAATTAGTGAAATATTATCATAGATTTCTTCTAAGCAGAATATTAATGAAAATAGCTATTGTCCATTTACTTTTCATGGATAGGTTTTCAAGTCACACCAACATAATAAAGTTCAAAGGAAAACTTTTCAGCTTTTTTGACAGAGAAAGACCTCATAAGCCTCTCCATTCATTATTTCAGACACAAATTGGCACCCGGGTAGAACCACAAATGTTCCCTTAAGTAGCTTGATAGCTTTCTCACATGAAAGAATCAAAAGTCCATGGAGGGTTTTGATGGGCATGTCAATTAACTAACTAATTTTAATTCTCATTATTCTGCAACCATGAAAGACATAACTTACTGTTCATGGCATTCTTCATCAGTGTCACTGTGGAAGGAATCATCTGGCATGTAGTCTGGGTCATTTTCTTGGTCATCCATGTATACAGTTGATGCTGACTGGAATGACGTGTTCAGTGGTGAGAATATGGTAACTTTCTTATTAGATGTTGACGGTGTTAAACAATGGAATGTATCATCTCTGTCAGGGAGACATTCAGTACAGTCGCTAACATTATACTGGCTAGATGAAGAGACCATCCTAACTGTATGTCTTCGCAAAGTCTGAGTAGCTGAAAATGACAAATAAAAACTACAAATGTGTCCACAGTGCACTTATCCCCAATGTTACTATAACAGCAAAGTTTATTTGCCATTCATAAAGACGGTCCAGAGGCATTGTTGTCTGTTTCAATTGGACTGAAAACAGACTTTAAATTGTGATTTTTGCCACTTGCATACCTGACCCTATAGTACCTGATTCAAAACTGATCTAAGCCATTTAATGTCTATAAATTGTGAAAACTCACTAAATTCATATTCAAAAGCAGTTGGCCATGTCTAACATTTATCTGGTAATGGACACATTTCATAGCAGTGATGACGACAAAATATAGTCAGAAAAAATCATGCAAAATGTCATTTAGAAAAGGGACACAACATTTTTGCATGAACAGAACATTTATTTTACTAAAATCATTTAAACATGTAGCAAAAAGTATTATATACAAGAGATTAGGAGCATTTATCGATATATCACCAATATTTATCATCCAATATCGGTATATCGTCGATATGCTTTGCACTGAATCAGTGACAGCTCTACATAAACCAAAATCAAATTCTACCAGGCACAGGTGAGCAATCCAAGACCCTCAACGTCCTTTTATATGTACATACTTCTAGTTATCTTTAAGAAATCAAGCAAACATTTCGTATGCTCTAATTTTTATGGAAGCGTAGCAATAAGGTGCCTTGGGGCCAAACTGTGGAATCTTTGTAAGGAAGACATTCAAACTGTACCTTAACCGTGTGGGAGCGAGTTAACATAATTCAGATATTATGTTGGCACAACAGACGTGTTCAGAACTTTCATGTAGAAGCTGGACTCAAATAAGAGCCAAGTTGAACAATATGATATTGGCTAAATCAAAATAAACTGACTTTTTCTGGTTCAAAGACAATCCAATGCCCAAAGTCTTTGAGGATGTAGTGCAGATTTATGTTGTAAAAGGTCTTGCATATAGTTACTTTTTTTTGCTAGTTTTGTTTGATCATAGTTGATTAACAATTGAATGTTCATCTTTAAAATTGATGATATACTACAGTTTTGTACATCTTTTTAGAATGTAATATTTATAGTTTAAAATATTCTGTGTGTTTGGATGATTTATATTTTGTGTCATTGAAAAAATATACAGGGTTTTGTGGCAACATTTAGACATCAAAACCCATCGTTTAACAGTGCTAGAATTGTTGATAGGTTTTAAGTAGTTGTTTTAACGTTAATTGTTGTTAGTGATTTTTCTCCTTTGACAATAATGATTTTAGCATTTGACAGAAACCTGGGGCCGTTTCATTATGAATACATTTTTTGAAAGTAAGATGTTAAGATGTATAGTACCAGAGTAAGCCATAATAGTTACACACCACTCCATGCAGTAAGTGTGTCCCTGACATCTTGTTTCTAAGATGTGGTATTTGATGGTACTGTCAGACTGATGCTTACTCAAAACATAGTGAAAAATCATTATTTATGTTTTATAAATATGTGATATATAACAAAACTAACAGAGTGATTGTAAGGACTCGATTTCCTAATGGAATCTTTGCAAACTGCTAAAATAGAAAATATCGCAAACATTTTGTAGTTGGTCTTATTCTTTTCAATGATATAGATATATTTCTTCATTTGCACAATGAAACTGTAAACCACAGCAATCTGGTCTATTGACTAACTAGTCTCTAATTTTATCAAAAATAATTTCTCTCTTTTAAAACATATGGAGTTTAAAATACAACGATCACTCTGTTAGTTTTTAAATATTGGGTCATCACTCTAAATTGTTAAACCCAAACCAGCATAAACCATTTTCATTCTTCAATAAAACACCTATGAAATAATGAAATAACATATTAAAGCTGCATGCCTCCAGATGAGTGAAAATATTTCAATAAAATCAAACTTGAGAATATGAACTACGATTTTAGGAAAAGTAAAATTATTCAATAATCAATTAACAATTTTACATGTTATGTGCGTATAATGACTGATTTTTCAGTATTTACAGCTAAATTTATATTGCATTACTAACGCAGTAAGGGCTTTTAGGTTATATTCGTAGGTTGTAAGTGCCACTAACTATGTGCAAGTTGCTTCCTATTGGTTGTTTCACAATATAATACATTCAAATGCATGTTCAAAAATTTTCATGAATATTAGCGGGAATCTGGAGGCTTGCTGCTTTAAAATCCAAAATGCTTCAATATGACTGATAGAAATACATTTTCTAAGCGAAATCATCGTAGAACTTTATGTAATAAGTCATGAAAATGACGTTCCAATATTACTGTATGAAGAAGTTTAGCAAAATTAGGTTGATGCCAGCAGGATACCCAAACCCTAACTCCAATGTGGGAGGGGGAGGTATAGTTGAAGGATGAATCAAGGCTCAAGATCAGCGGCTCCTAACCTATCTGACATAAAACTTAAATTTAGCGATCTAAAATTTTAAGTCGTAATGAAAAAAAAGGAAACAAATTTTGAAATTTATTAATGCAAAAATGTACAGGTCATTTCTTCCTAAGATAAGCTCATTTCATGTACAAATAAACAAACATAATGATACTTTATAACGAATTAAAACAGAATTAATTGAATAGTCTTCGAATTTTGAAAAGTCGGTTTCGCTTATTAAGACACATTTATACTTGTTGGGTTGTACATAACCCTGAAAAAGATAACAAAATTAAGAAACATACCAAAAACCTTCAGTGCAATATAGTCAAAAATGATTCTGACAATAAATACATGTATACGTAAATGCTAGATTATGATAGGTTTCAATGTCAATTTTACAGGTCCACAAAACTTTATATTGACCACAACACCAGTCAATAAAAGTTGTAATCTGGAACTTTGCAAATGTGGGGTTTTCCATGCTTATCCCAAGGTACAAATTAACTTTTACCATTATAGCTTCATGGTGCAACCAACCGCAATATATACGATTACCTTTTGCTGTTTCTTTCGAGAATGTAACTGTGAAAATTTGTATGTCCCCCGGATTTGCTGGGAAAACCCAAAATAACCTTTATTCTGAAATAAGACTATTGTATAATAAACCATTATTGGGTCATGTATATACTATTTCTTGGTCACCATTATATACAAATATTGGGTCATCATTTGGGTCATATTTATACCATTACTGGTTCATCACTATATAGCATTAATGGGTCATCATTTTATATACATTTATTGGGTCATGTATATACTATTATTGGGTCAACATTTTAAACACTATAATTGGGCCAAAGCCCAAACTTTAATTAGGTCTGACCAAGTAAGTTGGTGTTGTTAGGTTTACTCTATCCCACAATGATTTACTGATCTATATTCATATACATGTTCTTTCTAAACAGTAGTTAGAAAGCTGAAACCCTGTAGATGTACATAGCACCACTATTTTTGGTAGGTCACAATAAGTGGTTTTCAGACTACAGGCCCAATAAGTTGGCGAGTTTAAGTAAATATATGTTAGTGCAGTTTGTGACTGTATATAAAGCTGTTCTGAAACCACCTTTTTTGTGATGGTGGATGAGCAGTGGCTATGCTTTCATGACTGTTCTGCTAGGCGCTGTGTCGTAATTGGACTGGCATATCGATGTGGTAGTTTGTGTGTATATATTCTCTCTCTCTATCTCTCTATGTCTCTCTATGTCTCTCTCTGTCTCTCTCTCTCCCTCTCTCTCTCTCTCTCTCTCTCTCTCTCTCTCTCTCTCTCTCTCTCTCTCTCTCTCTCTCTCTCTCTCTCTCTCTCTCTCTCTGTCATTAAGTTATATTTTATATTAAAAGTTTTTCTAACACGAATTTATTACAATAATATTATTCTAGTTTATCGATTTATGTTGTTCATTTTTGCAAAAACTTACAAGTAAAAAATATATATAAAAAATGGTCCCCCTAATATTTTGTAACTGTATTGCATACTTTAAGGACACCAAATTATATATTATAGTATATAACCACGGGGGGACCTATTGACCATAATGATATAACACACTGTTTAACTTATAAATTATGCATATAAGTTAAAATAATAATAAAATAAACAATGGTATGACTCGGGGATAGGTTGAGATGGTTGGGTGGGGGGCCAGGCGGACGACACAATTGGAATCCCGACCCTTCAGAAGCCTGGTCCCGGTCTCCTGGGGGCCTTGAGCTGTAGCTTGTTAAACTGGGCACTGTACCAGGCCATACTGGGCAGGTAAAGGACAAAAACAGGTGACGGTGTGGGGGGCTTTTTTGACATAAAGGGGTTCCAGCCCTGGTGTGCTTGGAGTTCATAAGCAGTAACTAATACCCATTGATATTGCACATGTACAATGTGAAGACGGGAGGGAAATTGTTTACGTGGCAAATATAACAAGAGAGGAAATGTCCAGTTGGCAAAATGACGGGAGGGGAATAATCTGGGGTGACAAAAAGACGGGAAAAGAATTGTCCGGGTGGCTAATATGACGGAGGGGAGTTCTCTTTGAAAGGAATTGACTGTTATTCTTTCAAGACATAGGAGGATACCTGACAAATTTATTTAAAATATATATGGTACGATTTCAACGGCGACTCTCCGGGCACTGTATTATGGAAGAAAACAGTCATACATACTACCAGAACACTTAGAATCATCCCGGACTATTCCCCTCCTGCCATTTTGCCTCTCTGGACTATTCCACTCCCATCTGTTGACAATAATCATATGGGTAACAATTTTGGAGTCATAATTTAAACATTGCTGTCATGTCTTCGTTTTTTTGTATATTTCTACACAGTGCTGTTTAGTGCGTTTGTGGGAACAAATTACCCCAAATAGACAAATTAATTATTTCTGATAATTATATGAAATATTTGTTGATTCTATTTTATTATTGTGACAAACAATTTAAATTCTGTATGGAACCTTCAGTTGGTTATAACTATAAACTGCTCACTCTCACTTTTGACGACACTCAAAAAAGAAATGGACGACAAACAAAAATACTTTATATATTGTCAGTGTTGATTCCTTCTGTTTACCAGATTTTTAAAATACTTTTTATTGGATCAATTTTGAAAAAAAAAATGAATAAATATGAAACAAATACAGAAAAGTTTTGGCTTTTAAGTTTTCTCACATATAATCATTATAGAAATTTGACGTTTTGTAAGAAATAACTTAATTATTTAATTTCAAGTATATTGTGTCTTTCAGTCCCAGATTACATGGTTAATTTTGTATTGATTATATGATATAAATATGTAAAATGTGTCAATAAACATACAAATTAATTTGTATTGAGTTTTATCATTTGACCGCCGCCATGAGAAAAGGGGCACTCGGGCATATATGACGTAACGTCAAAAACTTCGGGAAAAGGAGAGCGGCTAATGACAGCGATTTTTTCGTCGCCATACTAGTTTCGGTGCGCGAGATTTATAAAGTATTGGCTGTATATGAATTGTTTGAGAAATACTTTTTTCGATTATTTTAGGAATTAAATGGATTATTTGAATCATTTGGAGTACCTGCCGAGCAGAGTCCAACATCAACAGAGGTTGATATTCCTGAAGATCTGAGCCAGGAGTTTGAAGTCAGTGACAGTGACCAAGAACAGTCTGACACAGAACAGGTAGTGAATGAAAGGATTGAAGAAGTGATTAGAAATTATGACACTGTAAATTCCAGGGAATCAGACTCAGACAGAGACACTGATGACGCATCATGTAACAGAGCCTGTAATGTTTGTACGTGTAAAGTTGATTGCCTTCTCTAGTTTGACAAAGCTAGTGTTGACAGTCACATACTTTCTATGAGAGAGATTGACAGAAATGAAGCAGAGATGTTCATTACTGGGAGTGTACATCAAATTGTTACTGACGAAACTCTTAAAGGGAAACGCCGGAAACGGACTCGTTTTAGATACACATTTCATGGTAAACCTATCTGTAAGAAGGCATTCATGTATGTAAATGATATCGGATCAAAAGCTCTCCGAAACCTACTTGATCACTTTACTACCAATGGCGCAATACCACGTACCCACGGAAACAGTGGAAGAAAACCACACCATGCCCTCGGTTACAATGAGATACGGTTTTGTGTAGACTGGATTTTATGGTATGCTGATATCAATGGTTTACCTATGCCAGCAGCACCCAGGGGCCGTGACGGGGAAGCCCCTATCTTCTCCCGTCGAACCTTACAAAAGCTTCTCTACACAGTCAATATTGTCAGGCATGTCAGGAGTCAGATGTACGGAAGCTCGGAGTGTCATCATTCAAAAATGTATGGAAAAATTGCATTCCACACATAAAGATAACGTCACCAAAAGATGACGTGTGTCATAAGTGTGAGCAGTTGCGACATAGTGTAATGGATTCTGTGACGGAGCAAGCAAAACTTGATGCAGCAAATTGTCTCCGGGAGCATGTGCAGGTATTCTATATTGCTAATTGTTATCTTGTATTTTTCAAAGTAGCTTTTTATTTTCCCTTTGTTACATCTCATGTAAGTAATACCGTAGGCATAAAAATCATAGATATTTTATATACATGTACATCTTGGACAAACCACAATATATGTTTTACCTTAATGTTTTAGGATGCTCAAACAGAACGTCAGGCGTACATGACAGCGGTTATTCAAGCGAGAGAAGAGATGGTAGGTTACACCCGACCGACAATACCCGTTGCACCAATTTCCACAGAGTTCAGTAAGGTATGCATATGACAGTTATGGTATAAGCTTTAAAGATCTTTTACAGGTTATATGACCATATATAAACGGTTGTTGTATATATAACCGAGCTGTAAGGCAATTGCATATTACCGTTTACATTCATTAAGAATTAATTTTTATTACGAACTTATAATAATGCAAACTTTCTTTATTATTAGAAGTAAAATGAAATAAATATATAAATCGATTGCAGCAGTGCATACAGATTATATTAACGTCACGATTATCCGTTGAAAAAATGACGTTATAAACGTGCAATATTATAATTATTAGTGCAAATAACATATTGAGAGTGCAATAGTCTGAAGGCTCCTGTCTTTATATTTGATAATTAAAAAAATGGATTTAACATACAAAACTGCATGGTTTTTAAATTAACAATTTGGAAAATGCATATGTGATTCATATTGGTAAACTTAGATTAGTCAGAATATTAGTAAAAAAAGTCATCAATAGAATAGTCAACATACATGTATGATATAAAAAAATGCTTACTGGGATCCTTCGTATTACCGGACACAATATTATGTTTTTTATCTGTAACTATTATTTTAAATAATGAAAAAGAATGGAATTTTATCCAAATAATTTTGGATTCTTAATGCACGTATACATTCCTTTATCAAACATGAAATTAAATATTTGACCGTAGAAATGTGTCTTTAAAGTAGGGCATTATAAGAGGAAAAAATCGTGTTAACAACTCAATTTACCGGACATTGTGTTTCAAAATGTTTTGAAGTCGTGAATTGAAATTAATCTTTAAATAATCAGCAAGAAAACTACGACTATTGAATGGCAATGTTAAGATACTGGAAAATACCCAGTATGTTACTAAAATAGACACGGCAGCCATGCTTGTTACGAAGAGGCCTATATAGAGGTGTAATTGAAATTAACACTATTAACTCAATTAACGTATTGATTCTTCATGATCCTTAAACGTATGACACATTTTGATATTCAAATGGATTTCTGTTCTTTCTCATACATTCCTTTTGATCATCATGTAGCATGTTGCAAAAGCCATAAAGTCTATTTTTGTACAATTCATGTAGTTTCCTCCCATGGGCGTAACCCGTTTCCTTATATGTTATTTAATTTACATTTCTTTGTAAAAGAAACAACCGAGATATTGTATGAACGAAATTTAAAATTACTTTTTATCATTAAAATATGTTACGATTGTCTCTTGAGGTAAACGTTGAGAAGACTTAAAAGTAAAACCTATCTGAAATAACCCATTAAGGGCCTCAATATTCGGGAATGCGCAGAACAGATTATTCCCCCGCATGACCAGGTCATGGAATAACTAGTAAACAAAAGGGTATGTTAGTAAATAAAGAACTGAATCAACAATATTTGCCTGAGAGTGGTTTTGTTGTTATTTTATTTGAAGTTGAAAGTGTGTGTACGATTCAGACTGGATGATTTTTGAATCGACGCAAAATATAAAGCCTTATTTGACAGGAATAGATTTTGTCCGGTAAACTGATTGTGCGGTAAACATGTAGGATACTAGGATCCCAATAGTATTTTATTGATTAATATTTTGGTCAATTTATCAGGTTCATATCACTTTTGACTACAGTCAGAGTGTGACAATCCCTCATCACAGTCGACAGATGGGACCCATGTACTTTGTAACAGGCAGGAAAATAAATATGTTCGGTATCCGCATTGACTCTACAAGTGAGCAGTTCAACTACTTAATAGATGAAGATCAGTCTATAGGTATGTTAACTATTAACCAAATTTACTTAGAAACGTATATCATGACAGAATAGGATATGTGATTGGATGTGGGTAAATGTGGGTTATTTCATGCACGTGCAGGCATATTGTCGTCCTCCCGAAATATAATTATGATCATTGCATTAATGAGTTTTACACTACGCTATATTATTGCCATTTTTATTAATTGATATAAAACTGTATTTCATATAAATTATTGTCACCTTACAGGTTTAGATGGAACTGGGACACATGGACCGAATTCAGTATTAAGCATGCTCCATCATTGTTTACAGAATTACGGATTTGGCGAGAAAGGACTTTATCTTCATGCAGATAATTGCGAAGGTAAATCTTGTTTTCACATTAACTTATGAATAAAAATATTCAGCATATTCATTGATTAATAATACTAAAACAAGTAATATAAAGTTATTTCCGTTCCTTTTTCTTGTTAACAGGTCAAAATAAGAATAGATACACACTGGCGTATCTTTGTTGGAGAGTAAACAGAGGGTTACATGAACACATTCAATTGAATATGGCTATTCCCGGGCATACAAAGTAAGTACCTTGATATATTTATACATAGCATCGTTGCGGCATATTCGTAAGCGTTGGTTATGTTACTCCTTATGTTTCGTCACAAAATTAAATAAAATCCTCATATTTTATTCAGATATAAGTGAACACATAGTTAAGTAACAGCCTACTCAAAAATATGTGACGAAGTGGATTTTACTACTACAGTGTTTTTATGGTTATGTGATAACTAATTTGTTTGTACTGTCATTCTTTAATTCTTGTACTTTATTTTTATCTAAGGTGTCTTGTCGATGGTGGCTTCGGGCGAATTAAAAAACTATTCAAGAGGTCTGATTGCGAGAGTCTGAGTCAATTCGCAGACATTGTGGATAAATCGGCAAGGAACAATTTCCCTGTTTTATATCGAAATGAAAACAATGATCAAACATGGAAATGGTAATTAATTTTCTACAGAGTTTAAACAGATTTTCGATAACTAGTTAATAATATAATGTAGGCTTAAACATTATAACAAGCATGTATAATAATGATGATCACTATCACAGCCACGCCGATCGCTAGCAATACACATACATAGTAGCAACAAACAAAAACGTTATTTATTTTAAATGCAACAGAAGAAAAGAAATGCAATGCCTAAAATCTTTTTTCACAAAGATGGTATATTTTTCAATAAGAATATACGTTATATACATTATTAACTGCATTTAATAAAATAACATTATTTTAACACAGGTATGACTGGAAGTCGTATTTGACGCGATATTTCCTACAAGTGAAAGGCATACAGAAATATCACTGCTTCAGATTTTCTGCTGCAGACAAGTCGGCTGTGTTTGTAAAGGAAAGAACAGATAGCGAGGAGATTAGAGTTCCGCTGATAAGACGTAATACTGAAGTTCTAACAACAACCTTTCACGAGGTCATACAGCCCGCTGGATTAAGTTGTACACGGCGCGAATATTTATACCGTAACGTTAGAAAATATGTGCGTCCTGCATACCAAGATGCCACGTGCCCGCCATACACTGAAGAGTGATTCACGCTGCATGCATACAGACTGACTGATGAATTTTGTTATTGTTTTCAAGTTCAGTTGTTACCATTTTTTATAATTAAAGTTTTGCTTTTAACATTATTAGGGCCAAGTCTTATAATTATAACATGTAATTGTTTTACATGTTTTATTCAAGAATACGATAATTTTGAAAATAGTGTTATAAAATAGTTTTTAAATTATATTTTAATATCTTACTTTTATATATTTTAGTATTATTCTAGTAAGTGCAAAATTAAAACTTTTGAAACACTTGACTTCATTTGTTATCTGCTAAACTACATTTGACGTCGTCATAATTATTATGACGTTACGTAAATCTGTCGTTGACGTTGCATTAATGTCCTCTTTTAAACCTCTATATCTCAAAAAGTATTTGCAATATCAATGTGAAATAAAGTGCATCGTGCACAATAATGCATGTCCTAAAATATTAGCCATAAAACTAAAAATCGATAAAAATTGCCCGAGTGCCCCTTTTCTCGTGGCGGCGGCCATTTATGTTATTAAATGCTACAGCTGCTGTAAACATTTCTGGTTCAAATTTATTAATTCATGTTTGTTTGTATAACAAGCTTGAAAATATTTTCACACATATTTGTAATTATGTTATCAGGCCGGGCTTAGGGGGACGAGGCCCCCTAAAAATATGTCAAAGATGGCATATTGAGGGTAAAATATTAGCAAAAACTTGCTCAAGATAAATGTAATTCTCTTTATCCTTGTATTTTAGAGCCTTGAACACCACTGAGTTTCCTGTTAGTCAAATCACTGTATACTGTAACAGGGTCATATTTTCGTGCTTTAAATATAGTTGTGTTGATTTCAGTTACTTCCTTTGGATTATTATTTTTAATTGTTTTTTTAACCAATCAGATGATCGCTTTGAATTTCCCTCCAAATGTGTTTAGTTTGATGATATTGCGGCAGTTGAAAAGTGTTTTCAATAGAGAATAATTGGGCTTATGATATGTTTTATTCGTTTTAAGGATTTTGAATAAGTATTATGGTATATTTTAAAGTTTATTGTTGGGCAATAACTTCTGTATTTCATGTCAACAGTGTAAATTTATCTGAGAAGTAAATTCATGATTTTCATGTATTTAGAGTTTGAGTAAATAATTGAGATGGTTCAGAAATAGCATTCCTTTTTAACTTCACTTAACTCTTTGTCATTGTTCTTAATAATATGCATTCCTTTTTAACTTCACTTAACTCTTTGTCGTGCACATTGTTCTTAATAATATGCATTCTTTATTTGATAATTTGCAGCACCCAGTCACTGCGTGAATGAAGTGTTTGTTGATTGGAGTAAAGTTAATTGGATGGTTTGATATTGTTTAGAGCATACAATTCCACAAATTGGAAAGTCATCGTTATATATTATAATTATGTGTTATTATGTGTAAGCTATTGCTGTAACTTTTAACTGACCATTTATTGTGTATATGTAATGTAACTGTAATATATTTTAATGTTATTTGATATTATTGTTAAGGGTTAAGAAAAAGCCACTAGAACCACTTAATAATAAGTATCAAATGTGAACAATTGATCATTATGGTTTAATGTGTTTTTAACATTATATATTGTGAATTAGAGGGAGATAACCCTGCAAAAATCAGACATTAAGTGAATAGGCATTTAGTGACATTTTGTTTGTTTTCAGTGTGCTGGAATTGTTAACTTAGTTATCTAGTTGCCTGTTGATAAAAATGGAAGCAAAGTGCAGGAACAGTGAATTTATGGTTTGAGACATTTTAAGAGTGATACAGTGTTTATTTATATTTATTTGTTTATCAACATAGTAACACAGTGAACTATTAATAAATCTTTATGTGAACCCAAGCCTATTTGGCTTTGTAATCTTTTATTTAGATGCAATATAACCAAACGTAACATCACTTCGAACTATGATCATTTTTTCATTAATTTAGTACTGAGTCAAATAGTGAAGAACTATATTTACAATCTGTGTAACATTAAATTTTTGTACTATGTATTAAGTTAACTTTGATGAAAGAACCTGAATATACCTTGAAGGACTGAAGTTAAATCTTTAAAGCTTCATTAAAGATTTATAAATATTGTCAAATTACATTTATTGTGAAATCAAATACCAAGTTTAACAGTGTCATCAACATATATGTATGAGATAGATCTACTTTACACCTTGCTGTTTTTAGAAGGAAGTAATTTCAACTGAACATCAGAGAAGGAACAGTTTCACTTGTGTAGACAGTCTACTCAGGAGCCAACAGTGTATCTGACAGTTTTTGGTGCATGAATTATGTGTGGTTTATAAAGGTGTGGTCTAATGGCTTGTAACAACTTGGTTGTAAGTAAAAAAGAAACGTTTGTAAACTTGTTCTGAAATTGCAGTGATCCACAGTGAATATACATATTGATTAAATTACTTATAGTTATTCAGCGTAAATAATTGCTGCAATTCCTGACATGATTATGTGATTATTCTATGTGGTATGAAAGACATATCTAAGTCCGAGTGAGATTCACCATTGCATGATTAAAATTAATTGGTAATAGTATTCTATTTCACCAAAGTTCTACTGTCTGTATATCCTAACACCCTCTTATAGCCTTAACTCCAAATATATTTAATGTTTAACACAAAAAGGCTATTTCAGAACCTTCTCAAGTCTGTATTTTTTATTCAAAAATGTAAACAAACATTGACCTAGATTTTGACCTCTTGTTGCATTGAACTGGTGCAAAATATCAGAAGTTATTTACTTTTCTAAGTGATCAATCATTAAAAGAAATATTGGTTCTTGTTGTCCGAGTTAATTTCTAGAGGAATAATAATTTCATTTGTCTATTAATTTCGAACAATAAAGGTGGCCTTAAACTTTTTGTGTGTTGTTTATTTTCCTGCCATTTACATGTGTGTTTATTTTCATTAAAAGGTCAAGGAAGAGTATTTTCCCAAAATCTATACTAAGTATGGAAAGTATTTATTTAACAGATATAAATAAATATAAATGAACAAATAAAATATATAGGTACTCCCTGTTAAGTGAAACAATTTTGTACTGAATTGTTTGCAAAAATGGATTTTGTGAATAATTGTTAAATAATTACATTTATATTTACAAAAATAAAGATTTTTGTAAATAATTTGAAATAAATAACATTTCGTTTGCGAAAGTAGCTACTTATACGCGTACACTTATTCGTGATTATAGTTTTTGATTGCTACTATAGAATTTGTAATTTTATATAGCCAAAAACTTGTAACCGGTGTTTTCATTGTATGATCATACAAACGTAAACTGAAGTTTGGTTGAATAAAATACTTTGACCGAAAAACAAATGAACTGGAATGAAATATGTGAATCACACTAAAAGTGAACTACGTTAAAGCTGAAGTGAAAATAAATTGAATATGAAATTGTGAATTAAATTGAATCACGGAAGGGAAACTGATAATTGTGAATGAACTAACGCAAAAGTGAACTAAATGAAGTTAACGCAAAAGTGAATTAGGTGGATACTTGAAAGGAATTGCTTCATGTACGGAATACTTTGTTACACTGATAAAGGAAGATGTTATAAATATAATTGAAACCATTCGCACATTAAGCGTGAATATTTATATCAAAGTGTTAGTGCGATAAAGGCGTAACTGTGGAATTTGAGTTTTGAGAGTACAATACATGTGAATTGAATGGAAATACTTGAACATTGGAAAGTTGGATAGCTGTGAATGTTGAAGTTAATGCCAGACTGAATTAAATGTGAAATGAATATATTGTGTAGAGTGAAAAGCAGACTGAATTAAGTACTATATGCACAAGATAGTGACATACTGTGTTAAATTGATACTCAAAGGAAGTAACAAAATTGTATTTTGAAAATACAGACATTCAACGGCAAACTGTATTTAGTGAATACAGATTATAGAAAAAGTTTACGAGAGTTAGTTGCAAACTGTATTAAGTGACTTTGATTGAATTAACATTGTGAAGTGAAATAAGAATATCTAGAGGAATTCATTTATAGAAATAGAATGTTGATATGAGATGGAGTTAAAGACTTTGTGAGATGACGGCAAACTGAATTAACTTTGTGAATAGATAGAAAACAGTTTGACAATTGAATTCACAATTGTAGAAAGGAAAGAATCAAAGATAGTGTTTGATGCAAACTGAACTTAAGTGGAATTGGATCAAAACAGATTGAAATAAAGTCGGAGGCAAAGTGAATTAACTGAAAGTATATTGTAAGGAGACGACTAATGGTAGTTGAATGAAGTTGAAATGAATTATTAGAGACCTTGGAAAGAGAATTAAATTGGAAATAGTGGAGACTGAAGTTAGTGCAATATTGAATTAAATCATCATGAACATTTATTGTGAAGTTTTGGAACTTTAGTGACATAGTGACTACAGATTGAATTGGAATTGACGTTAATGCTATACTACATTAACTTTAATAGCAGTTGATGCCAAACTGAGTCAACTTTATATTAGTGAATGAGACTTCAATTGAGACAAGTCAAGATTACTTCATTAGTTCAGAAGTTGAAATAGTGTCAGTTAAATAGATACAGACTTTGAAACTGAACATCTTTTATAATTTATATTCAATATGAGTGAACCATCAGTCAAGAAAGAAAAATCTAGTGCTGAGGCATTAAGCGGAGAGACAATGTCTGAAGAAGATAAGAAAATTCTTGCGGCATTTCCTTCATTGAAATTCACGCCAAAGATAGAGTCTACGGAAGACTTAATATCTTTTATGAAGGATTATGGAGATGGAACTGGAGGAGCAAAGAAAAAACCTTCACCCTTGACACTACCTACTGAAAGTTTA